TTGTCAGGCAAAGACAACAGTTGGTCATCAGACTGCCAGAGACTTCTGACTGAGACCAAAATGTCCAGAACCTATATTACCATTGCAATCTTAGGGGGTTAAATAAGACATTTAATTCAGATTAAGAAGTGAATCTTAAAAGGACAGGTCTAGATGACACTGTCCTGAACTGGATGCAAAAGTGTCCACTAAACTACATGGCTGAACAACTGAAGTTCAATTCTGCCTCTTTTTTAACACACAAACAGGAAATCTAAAAACTTCAGAATTCTTACAGTAGTCAGTCTCCTTGGTGCTTGTCATGCTAGAATAATCCTGCTAACCAACAGCCCACAATATTGCAATCTACATGGCCGAGGTTTCACTGTGAAACATTAGCACCCAAAGTCTTAACTTGAACAGAAATAGAAGAAAATACATACAGACTGTACTGAACATAGTGAAGCATATAACTACACAGACTTATCACTCCTGCTGCTCCTTATTATCAAATTAACTATATATTTGCTTTTTAAAAAGTAAATAAAAATAAAGGCAGATGTAATAGAAACATTGATGTGTTTTCCACAAATTATTTACACGCAGCTATTGCAAATGGAGCAAATGAAATGGGTCACACAAAGATTTATTAATGATAAGAGACAGTATTATGAAGCTCCAACATTATCACGTCACGGTGTGTTTAGCATCCCACCTCTCAAAGTCAAATAGAGATTGTCCTTCTAACCAAGTACTGTTGCTTTAAATGTGATTGTGTCTGCTGCAGCACTAGATGAGTTAACAGAGAGCGAGAAAAGGAGAGAGGGGAAAAGAGGCAGAGGTAAAGGAGGCAACTGGGAAAAATTAAACATGAAGGAGAAGAGGAGAGAGGACTTTCTGTAATGAGACAGAGGAATAATATTCCTTTGTAATTTTAGCACTATTACAGTGTATGCATGTGTCTAAACCTGAGGAGAGCTGCATACATGGTGCAGCACAGTGTGGTTGTTGTTACACTGCTGATGTTACACTGCTGATGTTAACTGTACTGTTGCCTTTTGCTGCGAACGGTATGATTAATGTGCCTGCTCTTGTTGGGGCTCAGTCTTAATGCCTGAAACTTGTCTGCTCTCTGTGGGAATAATGAAAGAGGAGCTCATTCATCTAAATCAGACCAGAGTACAACCGACACAGAGCAGAGGAATTACCACACACCATTTTTAGACTGCTGCGTACAAAGGTTTTCCTCTGATAGAAACAATCACACCTATGCATGTGTACTTCACCTGACTTAGTGGATGGGCGCAGTTTCCCTGCTGCCTTATCACAACTCACACACACTCCTCTTGACGCAAGCAGATACACACTCACACTCAGCAGAATGCAGGAGTAGAAGACAGCCAGTGACCAGAGTACTTTGGGCTCGTTGTACTGTGTATCCCTGGTGTCTTGGTCGCACGCACCCCTAAATGGGCCACTGCCAGGGTGATCACAGTGTTACTATGCTACCCTGTTGGAGGCATGTATGATATGCCAAAGTAATGTTTCTTTTCATCAGCTGTGTTTGCTGGCAACTTTAGAGGAGATGTTTTTACAGTGGCATAGTGCCAGAGTTTGCAAACACCTACATCTACCACAAAAGTGTACACCAAACAGAATGTGACTATCTCTGTTTATAATTATTGTCTGCATTCTCTAACAGTAAACAGTTTCTCAGCTTTATGAATTCAGTAACATGAAGCTAAAACTGTTTTTCTGATATTGTCTGCTCTCACAAAAACCTGAGGCCAGACATATAATCTGCAGAACATGCAGCTTATATTTTACATATCACCCCCCTGTTGTGATGCAAATGGACCCTAAGATTCAAGCACAAAGGCAAGTCATACAGCCTCTGAAAGATTTACATGACAAAACGGTGCCGTTAAGGGATGATGTATTCCTCTGTGGTGATGGTAAGAGTTGCGACAGGTGTGTGTATGCGCACGTTTGTGTGTGTGTGTGAGAGAGAGAGAGAGGACCAGAGGAAACTTTAACAGAAAAATATATAAATACTTAAGTATCTGTCACCTTGAACAGGACTAAGAATTTCTTTTGATTAATTATTGTTTTTATTTTTTCAATTTTTTAACAAGTTGGTCCAAAAATTGCAGATAATCATGGAAACGAGGTCATTGTGTCCCAGGGCCTAAAAAATGCAATAACTTCAAATGTCAGACCACTAACTAATTATCATGTTCAAATTTGTATTTAATATATTAGTTCTATTTGTATTTGTTTGTAGTCATATTAATAGAAACTCTAAAAAAAGCCAGTACAAAGTAAATTGTATACACTTTATTTCCAATACATACAAGCATATTTCTAAAAAAATAAAAATCTGTTTTTGCATTTTTGCTTTTCTAGAAAATTTAGGTGGATTACCAACTACAGATTTGACTTTGTAGTTTTAAGTCTTTCAACTTTACTTGAGTTAGTAGAAATCTGCATTAGAGTCAGCTGCTGGTACAGTCAGCTGGAGGCAACTTCTCCTTTTAATTTTTTTTTGTTTTTTCTGCCAAAGTTTTTTTTCAAAACATCGACTTTCTCACTCTTTACCCAGGACTATTCCTTCAGTGTCACTTCAGTGTCAGTGCTCCGTTTCTGTCAGAACATGACCAACAACCCTGTTGCAACCGACAACACTGCTTTAACACAATCTCATGAACTGAGTGAATGAGAACAGTTGGTGCATTTCTTAAACATTTGGAAGCGTTTGCGTTTTCCTGCTCTGGACGGATCTAGAAATTTAAAGGTGCAGGGTTTGCTGCATGCCCCTGGTGGCCCTCCCCTCGCTTTTTCTCCCTTTCCCATATGTCTTTCCTTTGTACTGCATGAGTAATCCTGTTTCGGCAGCAGCCCTGGCAGCCTGGGAGAGCCGTGACATCCTCAGCCACAAACAGAGTACTGTACCACTCAACCTGTCGTGTGGCAGCTTTGGAGCCAGAACTCGCTAAAATCTTGCTGTAGCTGTTATCTGTTCCCCATTTGTCTCTTTTCCTGTCTTTATTTCACACACACACAAACTCTAAGTCTGACACTGCTGACACACCGTAGACTCAGTTTGTCACACTTGCCTTATCAGCTGAGCACAGAGCTGCAGATAAGCACATGGACAACATTGATGGTTGTTATGAATTTAAAAGGACAGTTTACTCTTAGAGTAAACTCTTACTCTCCTGGTGGACTTGCTACACCAGGTCACACACAAAATTCCCATTCGATTTTCAACAACTACCACAGTAGGAATGAAACCTGATGGGACATTGTCTGTTTTTGGAATAAGAACAACTATTAACCTAACTCTGTCTCCCTCTCCATTTTCTCTTTCCATTCATCTACTTTATGTGTCTCTCTTATCTCCCTCTTGTTGCCTCTTTGATCAACTTGCAGGCAGATGCTGGCAACAGTTTTCTCCGCGCGGCCCGATCTGGCAACTTGGACAAGGCCCTGGATCATATTAAAAACGGCATAGATATAAATACAGCCAATCAGGTGAGAGAGCTGCTTTTTAAAAGTTTAATCATTTTAAATTAAATGCACACTGTTTTGGTGGTGTTTAGAAAAACTTTGCAGTTGAGAAACATTAGTGTTACTGGCCCATTGTTGCATGTATGTAAATGTCATCCAGTATTGTATCATATTTTAAGAAGGAAAATGTAGTAGATTTATATTTGTACCATATTTTCTTCAAATTATGATCGAACTGAACCTTTAGGCCAATATTTTTCCTCATCAGAACCAGGCTTCTACCTGCTGTTTGTTTTTTACAGCCGCTTTTAATCAATTTAGTCACAATGCTCCCATCTAGTGGATATTTTTAACTAATAACTTTTTTTTACAAGTAAACGCACACTACTGCAAAACAAAAAAAGAGCAAACATCAGCAGAAGGAAGCATCTTTGCAGGTTACCACAGCACATACACTTATAGTGTTCCACTAAAAAGGAGCTGCGTACTCTACCTTAAGTATTTCATACATCATTCTTCTATCATTTCAACAGAGTTTCTGATTTAAAACTGATCTCTCGTCTAGAATCTCTTTAAACGATAATATAATAAGTCAAAATGTTACCCTTAGTTCTTTATAATTTTTCTACAGGCTATATAAATGTGTTGTGAGTGTCCACTGTGCATGGCGTGTCTGAGTTGACCACTGTGCTGTTCCCTGCCCGTTCATCTGCTTGTCCACTCAGTCATGCACTGCACATGATGCCACAGTCCACTGTTAAGCAGCGGCTAAAGGTGACAGGGAGGTTTAACAGAGACTCTGGGGATGGTGTTAAATAGGGCAAGATCTACTCCTTTGCCCTGTCTCTTCCATTCTGGCTACTTTAGTTTGACAGTTGTTCCCAGAGTGTACAGGAGGAGGAGGGGGGCTAAAACTCCTGCCCTATGGCGATTTAGACATGGACAAAATCTGTGTGAGACACTTTGGGACTTTGGAAGTCCACTGGCTTATTAACACAACCTTTGTAAAAAATTATGCGATTTCCTTCTACAGAGCGATGTTTATCCAGAGCTTTTTTTTTTTTTAATTTTCTTGTTAAATTCTGGACTTGATCACACACCATATTAGCCCAAAGCAGATAATCCCTCATGATGGTGTATGCAGTCAGCTAATGAATATGAATTAAATAAAATCTGGATTAAATTATGAATTAAATAAAACTTGTAAATTGATCTAGAGTTCGTAACTCAATGTTTAAAAATCTCATTTTAGTGAGATCACAGTGCAGTAAAAGTTGTAGTTTAGTCAACACCGATTTTTCATATTACCACCAGATGGTACTTGTAAAACTGAAAAATTTAAACTTCTGCATCAAGGTTCCAATCATGTGGAGGCATACAGTATATTACTTCCATTCTATCCAATATGAGTTTTTGTTTTCTACAGTTAAAATATTTATCTTGGGAAAGACTTAATTTCACATCAACACCAGCACTAAGACTATTGTTGATCCTGCTTGTGTTTTGTTGTCTGATGAGTGTTTGACCTATTGCCCCCTGACTGTGGCAGTTGCTATTTCCGTGTGGGTTCACTCATCAGCATGTTGCTTTCCTCCTCTCCTCTCATTATCTCCTCTGCAAATATCTCTCTAACTATCCCCACTACTTTCTCTTCTCTTTTACTTTCTTCTAACTCACTTTTTGTTTTGCTTATCCCTCCTTTATCACGCACTCTCTCTTTCCTGCTTCCTACCCTTCCTGAGTGCAGTAGAGTGATGGTGTGCTGTGGTCTCTCCACTCAGAGGAATAATATTAGTGGTGTGGGAAAGGTCCAACCTCACATGTCCTGTGCGGCTGAAGGAAGGCTGTGTGAGGACCCCCTTTTCCCACCCGTTTTTTTTTCTTCCCAGCCACAAGACCAGTGGCCTGCTATCCCGCTCCCATCCCTTTAAGTATTTCATACATCATTCTTCTATCATTTCAACAGAGTTTCTGATTTAAAACTGATCTCTCGTCTAGAATCTCTTTAAACGATAATATAATAAGTCAAAATGTTACCCTTAGTTCTTTATAATTTTTCTACAGGCTATATAAATGTGTTGTGAGTGTCCACTGTGCATGGCGTGTCTGAGTTGACCACTGTGCTGTTCCCTGCCCGTTCATCTGCTTGTCCACTCAGTCATGCACTGCACATGATGCCACAGTCCACTGTTAAGCAGCGGCTGGAGGTGACAGGGAGGTTTAACAGAGACTCTGGGGATGATGTTAAATGGGGCAAGATCTACTCCTTTGCCCTGTCTCTTCCATTCTGGCTACTTTACTTTGACAGTTGTTCCCAGAGTGTACAGGAGGAGGCAGCACTGAGGGGGGCTAAAACTCCTGACCTATGGCAATTTAGACATGGACAAAATCTGTGTGAGAGACTTTGGAAGTCCACTGGCTTATTAACACAACCTTTGTAAAAAATTATGCGATTTCCTTCTACAGAGCGATGTTTATCCAGAGCTTTTTTTTTTTTTAATTTTCTTGTTAAATTCTGGACTTGATCACACACCATATTAGCCCAAAGCAGATAATCCCTCATGATGGTGTATGCAGTCAGCTAATGAATATGAATTAAATAAAATCTGGATTAAATTATGAATTAAATAAAACTTGTAAATTGATCTAGAGTTCGTAACTCAATGTTTAAAAATCTCATTTTAGTGAGATCACAGTGCAGTAAAAGTTGTAGTTTAGTCAACACCGATTTTTCATATTACCACCAGATGGTACTTGTAAAACTGAAAAATTTAAACTTCTGCATCAAGGTTCCAATCATGTGGAGGCATACAGTATATTACTTCCATTCTATCCAATATGAGTTTTTGTTTTCTACAGTTAAAATATTTATCTTGGGAAAGACTTAATTTCACATCAACACCAGCACTAAGACTATTGTTGCTCCTGCTTGCGTTTTGATGTATGTTTATCTGATGAGTGTTTGACCTATTGCCCCATGACTGTGGCAGTTGCTATTTTCTTGTGGGTTCACTCATGAGCATGTTGCTTTGCTCCTCTCCTCCCATTATCTCCTCTTTATAAATGTCTGTATGACTATCCCACCACTCTTCCGTCTCTTTCACTTTCTTCTAACTCACTTCTTTTTTGCCTATCCCTCCTTCATCACCACACTCTCTCTTTCCTGATTCCTACCCTTCCTTGTATCCTGAGTGCAGTAGAGTGATGGTGTGCTGTGGTCTCTCCACTCAGAGGAATAATATTAGTGGTGTGGGAAAGGTCCAACCTCACATGTCCTGTGCGCTAAAGGAAGGCTGTGTGAGGTCAGACCTATTCCACACGGCTTGTATTCTTTCCAGCCACAAGACCAGTGGCCTGCCATCCCGCTCCCATCCCTTTAACTCCTCCTGCCACCATCATTAATCAAATGGAAACGTTCACACATTATTTTCACTAATGACCTCTTTGGTTCTGCATTGTCACTGTGATGGCATGGCCTGTGTACACTTGTGTGTTTGTGTACTACATGTACAGTACATGTTGTGATTTCTGTGATTTTAGGAAGTGTCTGTGTCTGCTCTGCTCTCTCACTCAGAATGGGCTGAACGGGCTGCATCTGGCCTCTAAAGAAGGTCACGTCAAAATGGTGCTAGAGCTACTCCACAATGGAATCGTACTGGAGACCACCACAAAGGTATGGCAAACATCTAAACAACCATAACATCAGTCTCTCCAGCAAAATACAAACAGCCAGGACTCTGATGCTGCAAATAAATTAGTTAGGTCTCATAATGATTCAGCCAAATTTATATGCATACACAAAATATAAATACACCAGGTAATGTTTAAATAAAAAACAAAATCAGAAAACATGCCTTGCTAATTGCACATTACCCGAATGGAAAGAGTTGAAAATTTAACAATAAACATTCTTTATTCAAACAGGAGACAAACAGTGACTTCTATATAAACATTTCCTCAAGGTGGAACCAAAACACAGAACATAAAGAGTTCCGATAACAGTTAAAAAGTTTAGTTAAGTTAAGTAAATCTGACTAAAATTTGAATGAATCATCATTTTTAATAGCAGTTAAAAACCAACATTTGTCTGGGTCTGAAAACCAAAATTTACTATTTAAATTGGAGTGGACTGCATTAGTCAGGTGGTAACTAAATGTTGCAAAATTACTGAAACATAGCAAGATTGAACCAAGTGTAAAGACCGATGCAGACCTTTTAAACTAGAACACTTGGCACCTGGTTTTTCTTTATTAGCTTTAAAGTACAAGAACTTCTACTGATCTTCTTTCTTATGGTTTATTGTCAGAAGCAGGCGTTACATAATCCTCTGTTTCACTATTAGTTCTCAGTACTATTGTTCTGCATGTATCTGTGTTTAAACAGAAGGGAAACACGGCCCTTCATATTGCAGCCCTGGCAGGACAGGAGCAAGTGGTCACAGAGCTGGTTAACTACGGGGCCAATGTCAACGCTCAGTCCCAGGTGAGATTAAGACACGTTCCTACTGCGACAGGAGTCAGTGAGGCGACCTGTTGGTACTACGCGAACTGTAGAACCACTGTATGACTATAAAAGCTCCATTTGTTAATGTTGGTCCTTGTTCCTACAGTATATCTCTGTGTGTTTGTGTTGCCTTTCTGTGTACGATCACTTGTGGGTCTGTGACCGTCTTTCTACTTGTCATTTTGCCTGTGTCTCCTCTGCTGCTGCTGTATGTGTTTGTGCGTCTTCCTGAGACAGAAGGGTTTCACTCCACTCTACATGGCTGCGCAAGAAAACCATCTAGAGGTTGTGAAGTTTCTTCTAGACAATGGAGCCAATCAGAGCATTCCAACTGAGGTATCAAAGAACTGTGAAAAGTTTGATCTAAGTGCAACCATCCAATTTGCGCAACCTCATGCTCGCTCATCCAGAAACGCTGTGTTTCCATTCTGTTTTGTTCTCTGAGCGTCTTTATTGCTGCTATTTCCTCTCCCTGACTAAATTTGTCGTCTAACCTGCTCCTGTTTGCTTTAGGATGGATTCACGCCTCTCGCCGTGGCTCTTCAGCAGGGACATGAAAACGTTGTAGCCCTGCTCATCAACTATGGCACCAAGGGAAAAGTCCGCCTCCCTGCATTGCACATAGCAGCACGCAACGACGATACACGCACAGCGGCAGTGTTACTGCAAAACGACCCAAATCCTGATGTACTCAGCAAGGTTGGTCTGTGTTACTTAAAATAAAGACTTTTTTTTCCTGGCCAGATCATTTGGAATTTCTAGAATTTCTGGAATCTAGATTAACTGAGATTCATCAGCATTCCTGAATATGAATACAGATTTTTTTTTTCTATTTATTGACCAAAAGGACAAATGCATACTTGGCATTGACACAGTATTTTGAGCCCGAGTTGTTACTGTGTGATTTTTTTCTTTTATGGACAATGCTTATTTACGTCTAATGCTGGCTGTGAAGGAAAAAAAACTTTCATTTTTTATACTCAAACCAGCCAAGGTGACAACCACGAGACGTGAAACGTCCCTTACATCACCTTTACTGTATTGTTTGACCTTAAGCAGGTCATTTTGAGGCAGGCCATATACCAAACTGCACACAATTACCATCATGTAAAATGCAAAAATAACGATTTGCAGTTGAACTGTTGAACAGCAGTACCCAATAAAGTGAACAAATAGTTATCTTACTATCAGTTCTTGTATGTAAGCATCAGTCTTTTTTGACTTGAAGTAACATTTCTAGAGTACAACTGTGATGACAGTGATATACTCTAACAAGTGTGTCCTTGTAGACTGGATTTACTCCCCTGCACATTGCTGCCCACTATGAAAATCTGAATGTTGCTCAGCTGTTGCTCAACAGAGGAGCCAATGTCAACTTCACCCCAAAGGTAGGGAATAACTAATGGAATGTTAATCTGGTGTCCTTGCTCTGTGTTATCTGTGTCTAAGTGCATCTATCTGTATCTCATTACAGAATGGCATTACTCCTCTGCACATTGCATCAAGACGAGGGAACGTGATCATGGTGCGACTCCTCCTGGACAGAGGGGCGCAGATCGATGCCAAGACCAAGGTGCGGCAGACTTGATGTCTTTCTGTTTCTTACCCTTTGATTAGTTTAATGTCTTTGATGCATCTTTAATTTAATCATCAACGATCGTCCGTCTTTTAATCTCTCTCACTGCATCCCTCCAGGATGAGCTAACTCCTCTGCACTGTGCAGCCAGAAATGGTCATGTCAGGATAATAGAGATCCTGCTCGACCACGGGGCCCCCATCCAGGCAAAGACTAAGGTAAAAATGGAATTATAATGTAAATGTTAATGTATTTATTTTTTGACTTTTTCTTACTTCCTGTCTTGCAATGAATAAGCACTACATCTTATCTTTCACTGCAGAATGGTTTATCTCCAATCCACATGGCAGCACAAGGAGATCACATGGACTGTGTTAAACAGCTTCTGCAGTACAATGCAGAGATCGATGACATTACACTGGACCACCTCACTCCACTCCATGTGGCTGCACACTGTGGCCACCACCGAATGGCTAAAGTACTGCTGGACAAAGGGGCCAAACCAAACTCTAGAGCACTGGTTAGTAACAAACACGTCAGACTCTGACTCACTTTCTCTGCTTTTTCTGTCAAAATGCTCTAAGGGAAACTACATACAGTATCTGCTTGTTTGCTGTGTCTAAGAACTGAAATCAAGTTCTACATCCTGAATTTCAAAGATAAAGCTATAGCTATAGCTGCACAAAATAATATTAAATATTGAATTCAACTCTATTTCATGTAACAAATAAATCAACAAGTTAAGGGAAGTATTTAAACATTTATATTATTTTATGATATTTTACGATTGTTCTCTTCACAGAACGGCTTCACTCCACTGCATATAGCTTGTAAAAAGAACCACATGCGTGTGATGGACCTCTTGCTGAAACAGGCTGCATCATTAGAAGCAGTGACTGAGGTGAGGAAATGTAGCATTAATCTAATGTAGATGATTGGACTATGAATGTATTTCTTAATTGTCAAATACTGCTTTGTTTTTAATCAGTCGGGCCTGACTCCTCTGCACGTGTCATCATTTATGGGTCATTTGACAATTGTGAAGAGCCTCATGCAGAAAGGAGCTTCCCCCAACGCCTCCAATGTGGTCTGTTGAAACTCTGAGAGATATGCAAATAACTAAATACTAACATAGGGAAGTGTTGATTCTGATTTAGTTTGTCTGTTTGCCTCTGAGCAGAAGGTGGAGACCCCTCTTCACATGGCGTCTCGAGCAGGACACTATGATGTAGCTGAGTTTTTACTGGAGAATTCAGCACCTGTGGATGCCAAGGCTAAGGTAGGGATCAGTCACTGCAAAAGCCTTGAGATCAGGCTTATGGTTATGTTAGACTTCATGAATTCTGTCTCCGTTCCTGTTCAGGATGACCAAACCCCTTTGCATTGTGCATCTCGAATGGGCCACAAAGAGCTAGTGAAGTTGCTGCTGGACCACAAGGCTAACCCCAACTCCACCACCACAGCTGGACACACACCTCTACACATTGCTGCCCGGGAAGGTCACGTACAAACTGTTCGCATCCTACTGGACATGGAGGCCCAACAGACGAAGATGACAAAAGTAAAGTATTGATCATGAACTTTCCAGTTTATTATTATTTAAACTAATAGTGTGTTTCAAATATCTATTGTGCCTCTGTAGAAAGGCTTCACTCCTCTTCATGTGGCTTCTAAGTATGGGAAAGTAGATGTAGCAGAGCTGCTGCTGGAGAGAGGAGCGAATCCTAATGCTGCGGGAAAAGTAAGTTTTGTTGTACAGCAGAAAAAAATGGCAAAAACTGACATATTCCAATGACCAACTGCGTTCTACAGAATGGTCTGACTCCCTTGCATGTTGCTGTACACCACAACAACCTTGACGTTGTGAATCTTCTAGTCAGCAAAGGAGGATCACCACACAGTGCAGCAAGAGTAAATATAAAACCACACACTTTTATACACACTGCTGACTTCTGAGGTTTTTTCTCAACGGTACTACTGTGTACTTCAGAACGGATACACTGCCCTCCACATAGCATCTAAGCAGAACCAGGTAGAGGTGGCAAACAGCCTGCTGCAGTATGGGGCTTCAGCCAATGCTGAGTCACTGCAGGGAGTTACACCTCTTCACCTGGCCTCGCAGGAAGGAAGGCCGGACATGGTGTCACTACTCATCTCCAAACAGGCCAATGTAAACCTTGGCAACAAGGTTAGAACAACAACATGAGTTGACGATGGCTCAGTGTTGATGTTTATGTAGTATTTTTCCTAACCATTGTCATGTTTCTTATGTCATGGACAGAGTGGGTTGACCCCTCTCCACCTGGTGGCACAGGAGGGACATGTCAGCATCGCTGACATCTTGGTGAAGCAGGGAGCTTCCGTTTATGCTGCAACACGGGTGAGAAATCCTCAGGGTTGAATGTATCAATGCATTCACTTTAAACAAGATTCACCCTTAGCCTTCCAATGAAAAATGGGGAAGTCACACAGCTTCAAAAAAAGTGAAGCAACAGAATTAGACCAAAATGGCTAGTTTGATCTTAATGTTATGTAAATTAAATTCAATGAGAAAACGAAGCCACATTTAACTCACTATTAAATTTCAATATGAATTATTATTATTAGTACCTTACAAAATGTATCAAAACACAAGTAAAACAATTATTGCTATGAATTCTTGCCCAAATATAATAATAATAATATAATAATACTAATTATTCGTGTTTTTTTTATGCAATTCGCTCAGCATATCTGAATAAGAAAAAGATGATGATCATAGTTTGAATATTGCTCAGGTTACTCATTTTTGACAAACTTTTTCTTCTGCTTTTTATCTCATTGCTGTCAGATGGGTTACACCCCTCTCCATGTAGCGTGTCACTATGGCAACATCAAGATGGTGAAGTTCCTTCTGCAGCAACAAGCCAATGTCAACAGCAAAACAAGAGTGAGTGCCACCCTGTGGTGTAAACATAAAACTACATCTCAGCAAAGCTTTGCGGTGTCAACATCCAAGTCAAAGATAAATAATAAATATCCAGGACCCAAGTTACAGAATCAACAATTCAACATTTTATCAAGTATGTAGTATTGGGAGATCAGCTTGTTATCAGAGGAGCACGGGTTTGTCCTGCCTGGCTGGCTGTAATGTACTGCACAAGCACCAAAATAATTCTCGCCTTCCCAGGGGATTCATGATATCACCAAATGGTCAACAGGGATAGGTTTAATGCACAATGTACAAGGACTCTGCTTCATTATTAGTAGACAAACAAATCTTGTCAAAACAACCAAATTGACTCTGTGATACATTGATCTAATGTTTTTTTGTATTGTTTCTACTCTCACAGCTTGGTTACACACCTCTACACCAGGCAGCCCAGCAGGGACACACAGACATTGTGACACTGCTGCTGAAGCATGCAGCCCAGCCCAATGAGACCACAACAGTGAGTACCAACAAGCCACATCTTCCCTTCTTTCCATTGACACACCTGATCTCCAGCCAAGTAATCTGTTTCTCTCTCTTTTTCTAGAATGGTACTTCAGCTTTAGCTATTGCTAAAAGGTTGGGCTACATCTCTGTAATTGATGTCCTGAAGCTGGTCACGGAGGAGACAGTTTCCATGGTAAAAAGTTCAGAAAAAAAAATCTTATAACTTAACGATCAATGTCTTAGCTAGTAAAGTCATATAAATAACATGTAAAAATCCTTTTAACTTTCTGACACTGTTTTTCGAACTTCCTGCAGACGACCACAGAGAAACACCGCATGAGTTTCCCTGAAACTGTGGATGAGATTCTAGACGTGTCTGAAGATGAAGGTAGACGAATGGAAATATTTTATCTCAATATAAAATTTGTAATAACTTCGAAATGGACTGCCAATATCATTATTATAGAATACGCCACTGATCCCCAGTTTTAATAGTTTTTGCAGTGTTTAAATTTGTCTTGTACAAATTTTTTAAAAAAAGTTTGCTTTAAAAGTCTGCTTTAACCGCTTTTTGACACACAAACAGACACACACACATACTTGTACATTCCAACTAGCAGCTCAATGTGGGCTTCACAGGGATTCACTCTGGTTGCATGGAAATCATGAATTGTTGATTTGATCTGTGAGAGGAAGAAACTAGAAGGGACTAAAGTATATTTACCTACAGTATATTTTGAAAATAATCTGTAAATGAAGGTTTGGGAACCACTGATAAAACCTATTGCCCACTGGACTTTTTTGTTGTTGTTTTAAACTGCTCTGGCACAAATATCTTATATTAAATCCTGTTCTGCTTTTGCCTTCTTTAGGAATTGCTCAGCTAACGTTAGGTATGAATGTCTCCTTCTGTTTTGGTGTGGCATTCATAGGTGGTCGTCTCCAAGTGTATGGCTCCATTTCAAGCTTGATCACTCACTCTCCATCCTTCCTTTCTCGCCTCCCTCTTGCTCTCACCTACTGTGTATTTGTGCTCACTGTAATGGTGGCTCTGGTTTCTCATTAGCATGCACCTTAAGCAACCATGTTTGCCATTTAACTAACAACCTAACTTTTAACTGTCCACTTGTGGTCTTTTTGTCAGAAAGACCCTCAGATCATAGAATTTACTTACGGAGCTTCAGCACCTCTTTGATTAAATATTTATCATCTCTGTAAAGTCATTGGGTTTTGATATGAGTCTACATTTTGTTGTGTCAACATGTCTCTATTGTGAGTAGGGTGACTAGGTATCTAAGTGTGGGAGTCCAAAACATTTGGACATTTTTTCTTGTTCCTGCACATGTGATGTCACCCATGACTATAAGGGCAGGCTTTGACTGGTGTTTGTCAGCTGTAGACGTATCAACCACACAATCATAGGTTGTATTCTTTGGAAGCTAATGCAGAAAAGTGATCAACACTTCATTTCACACTCATTTGTCAATCGGTCAAAAAACACATATGACATAAAGCAACATAAGTTATGCAATTATACTTCTCATTGTTACATAACAATGATTGTGTTGCTTTTTTCATTTGATAATTGAAACCAAGCCATGACTTGAATTTATTCTGTCTGTTTCATTTAAGTGATATACTATACTATAAACGTTGCGTTCATGAACAACTATTCAATGAGTTTAGGTGTGGTGATGATGGGGTTAATTAAGAGGTATGATTTGCAGTTCTATGCATCTATTATTTTTAGAAAAAAAAAAATCTGTTGCCACTGAAGACCTGGTCAAACTACTTGTGCATGTTGTGTTGCTGTTGTGTGATGTTTACCTGTTCCTGTGAGTTAATGTTTTTGGGCCTTAGTAAAAAAACAGAACGTGGCTATCGTATATATATACTGTATATGTATCAACAACCTTGTGATTTGTATTTGGATGACTTTGCTCACACTTGCGAGAACCATCTTTAAATGGTTGTTCCTCTTACCTGTGAACAGCAAAATCAGCAGTGTCCATTTTACTCTAATAGAGATAAAGACAGCACTTTGGAAGTGTTTACATTGATTTACCCTTTACTCCACTGTTTCGGTGTTAAAGTGTTTCTACAAAGTCTTAGTTGCTATGACACGGTTAAAAGTTTTAATTTAATTCAAGATGCCAATAAACACTAACATTGAAGTACTAACAGTGTATTTTACAACATGTATTAATATAAATTGTTGTAATATAACCCAAGAAAAATATACTTTTTTTCTGAAAATCAATTATTACCTAATGAATCATGCCTAAGGAAATATAGACTTTTCAGCAAGAAGATCACTGATTTCCTGGGTCGCTCTCCGTCTTATGGACTTTGCACACATGAAAATGCTGCCTAAACTGTTTGTGCTATCAAGCACACACTGTAGCACACACTGACATCTACAAGCATTAACACACATAGAAGGGTTTACATTGTATCTAACAATTTTTACCAAATTACAACAACTTCATCTTCAACTGCCTAAACCACAATGCACTATACTGCGTGTGACACCTTGTATTTCTCTCGTGTGTGTGTGTGTGTCCTGGAACTGTTAAGGTTATCCTTATGTCTTTGTGTTGAGTTGTGGAGCCAGTGCATTGTGTTGCCAGTCCCAGAGCCAGGTGAAACTACTTAAACCTCAAATTCTATAACTGTTTTTACCTGACAGCACAATTTTGGAATGGGATTATGCTGATGTATGCTATCCCCAGAAATAGTTTATCTCTGCTCCAACCCAGGTATTATATAGGTTTTTAAAAACCCTTGCTACGTCTATGAGAAGTCCAGGAGCTAAACCGAGCAGCAGCCTTTTACTTTAAATATTAGTAATATACCATAGGACTCCGTTACTAATATCTCATCTGTAAATCAGAGTCACCTAAATCCTGGGTTGCCATGTTTAACCATTGGTTAACAGTCTTGTTCTTTCCTTTCTCTCCTTCTCTGGTGCTGTTTCACCAACCTGACCACCATCTGTTCGCTCTCTTTGGCATGTTGTTCTATGAAGGAGAGGAGCTCTTGGGGACTGAAGGGGCCAGGTACATGAAGATGGATGAGATGAAAGACCATGATGATGATTTCCTCTCCCCAAAGAAATCACTGGAGTATGAGAGAGGGCTGGGCACAGCGTAAGGGGGGCAGGGTGGGGAATTAGTGGAGCAAGCCAAGCTGGTAGTTACACGTTAATGTATAGATAAATAAGACAGGCTGCAGGGGGGGCCATAGACATTCAACGAACACCAGGGATGAACACTTGGGAGGAGGTAAAACACAAAAGAATGTTGGTCTGACTTCATTTTTTTCTCTTTTTATGAAATAGAAATTACTCACCAGCCATTCCCAGGATTCCCCGTGTCTCTCCAGAAACTGTCATCCTCAAAGAACACGAGATAGAACAGGTAGAGAGCAGCATGACTAATGTGCTGCCCACTGCTCATAATATGGAGGCACCAATTTGAAGTAGTGCACAATTCACAAAAGTTGTGAATTTAAAAGACTTACAATCTTAGCCTGACTTAAAAAAAAACAGTTCTGTGTGGACTTTGATTACTTGCATTGTTACCTCACATACAGGAACCATAGGAACAGCTTTGCTACTATCTACCGGAGCACATAAGCACATTTAATCATAGCAATCTTGATATGTAATGTACAAATTTGTAATCAAATGAATAAGTGATTGTAATCAAATGAATCAGTGATTAACCACTGGCATTTAACTACATTCCTCTCTCTGTTGTAGCTTCACACACCACTTCCACTGCCCAAAGAATATGATGAGGATTCACTGATTCCCAGCAGTCCAGCAACTGAGACATCAGACAATGTCAGCCCTGTAGCCAGTCCCATACATACAGGGTGAGCTCAGCCATGACAACCAAATGAAACACACAATTATATTCGCTCAGTCACTATCAAATCAGCAATCATGATCTCATCATTATATCTGTGTGGTGGCAGGTTCCTGGTCAGTTTCATGGTGGATGCTCGAGGCGGCTCTATGCGAGGCAGCAGGCATAATGGTCTGTGCGTCATCATACCACCGCGGACCTGTGCGGCTCCAACTCGCATCACCTGCCGCCTGGTGAAGCCGCAGAAGCTGACGAGCCCTCCTCCTCTGGTGGAGGGAGAGGGGCTGGCCCGCAGGATCATCTCCCTTGGCCAGCAGGATCATCTCACTGGGGCCAGCTGGGATGCAGTTTCTGGGGTAGGGAACCCCTTAGCTAACTCATTTCTACGGTGCATTTTTAAACAGAAAATGTAAATTCCTACTGTTGACCTATATAATTGACCTGTTTTGGACAGGGTTAGAGCTTGTCTAAGACTTGGGAGTAAAAGGCTCATTGAAACCTTATTCTCTCTTGAATATCAACATGGGCGGACACTCACGAAACAAAAATAGTTCATCCTTAACCATTCAAAGCTAATGTTTAGTCCAGAAAGAGATCAACTTTAACGTGCAAAATATCAGCTTACAAATAGTCATGTTTGTCAAACTAAGGCAATGTGGAATGCTTCGAAGTTAGTCATTCATTTAGCTAAATAATGCTAAATGATTAATACAAATTTATCAAAACGTTTTCTCTGAAATAGGAAAGGTAAATTAGTTTTGATTAAATATTCAACACTTAAAAAAGACTGCATATATTCAAATGAAGGTATGAATGGGGATCATGTCTTCAAATTGCCTATACAGTTAGCAGGGAGCACTGATTAACTGAGATCTTGTGCAATTCTGTGCATTATAATAATTATAATAATTGTGCTGTTCAGACCAGTGATAGTGGAGATCCCCCACTTTGCTGCCCTGGGTCGAGGAGACCGGGAGCTTGTGGTGCTGAGGAGTGAGAATGGCTCTGTCTGGAAAGAACATCGCAATCGCTATGGTGATGAGGTGCTAGAAACCATCCTTAATGGGATGGATGAAGGTAAACATTTTGATATGTTTTTCTAAATATAGCAATTCGTCCTATTATATTTTGCTAACGAAAAAAAAAAAATGAACTAAACAACTTAACTTACTCTACACAGACTTAGAAAGTCAAGAAGAACTTGGAAAAAAGCGGATTCGCCGCATTATCTCGACCGACTTCCCACTCTACTTTGCTGTTGTGTCACGTGTTCAGCAAGAGAGCGATCTGATTGGTCCAGAGGGAGGCTCACTGACAAGTAAACTAGTGCCCCTGGTACAGGCCACATTTCCAGAGACAGCAGTCACCAAACGAGTGCGTCTGGGGCTGCAGGTGAGCTGGAACGATGTGGAAAAGGAGGAAGACAGCCAGAGTCATTATGCTTTTGTTGCCTGATATAAAGCATGTTGGATATGATTGGCTCATATCCACCTTTTATCTCATATTTTGCTGTGTTTTTGTTCAATTGTTTACCATTCATATTTTTTAGTACCTATTTCTCTGTTTACATGCTATTTCAATAATGTCATTTAATTTGGCTGGATTCCGATTTTTTTCTCATTTTGACAATTATATATTTACTAATCCTCACAGAACGTTAATGATCAAATTAAGACATGTTAGTGATCACACCCAAGTGTATCCACAGAATTATTCATTTTTATAGGTGTGTTATTATCAAGATGACAGTATGATGGCATTTTAGCTTCTACTGTGGTTTAAGGCAAGAGAATAGTTCTTGCAAGAACACCACAGGATACCACACCTGCTGTTACCTCTTCACAAAAATATCAAATGTAACTTTAATGTAGTTTTAAAGTGTTGTGATTATTATTTAATATATATATATTATGAACTAATGCCACTTATCTATACCTGTGTATGTTTTAAAGCCTCTAGTTCTCATGTAAACACTTGCCTTAGACACACAGTGCCTTCTTGCTTGATATCCATCCAGCTTGGTATCCATGATTGTAATAAAACAAATATTGTTATATATTACAATAAAAAAAAATTCAACAACCAGTTTGCATTGCCAATGTGATTCTAAATGTGTTGTTTAAACAATTCACCCTGTGCTTTTCTCTCTCTTTTCCCTTCACCTTTGACTTCATTTGGTTTACATCGCTTTGATTATCTTTCCTCATCCATTTTCCATGTTTTATCCCACATTAATTTTATGATTTATTTATTTATTTTATTTTTTTTGTTTGTTTTTTTGTTTTATTAATAAATAAAACTCCAATGCCTTGGTTTTATTTCCTATTCCACTCGCCTATTATTTTCTTTTAACCTCAGGCTCAACCAGTTCCAGATGAACTGGTTGCAAAGCTGCTGGGTAACCAGGCCAACTTCAGCCCGGTGGTCACAGTGGAGCCTCGGCGACGCAAATTTCACCGACCTATTGGTCTGCGCATACCACTACCCCCATCATGGAGAGAGAGCCCCCGAGATTCTGGGGAGGGTGACACCACTAGCCTCCGCCTGCTCTGCTCTGTCATAGGTACGGCATGACGTGACTGGAAGTTTTGTAGGTGTTGGTGTATGTTGAGAGGAAATGTTTGTTGGAGCTAGGTGAACTATAAGACTTTTGTTATCCTGTCTGATTGCTAGGTGGTACGGCTCCAGCCCAGTGGGAGGACATCACTGGTACAACCAAGCTAATATATGCTAATGACTGTGCCAGTTTTACAACTAATGTATCAGCACGGTAAGTCCAGTTCAAAGCACATACAACGTATACACATAGCTTAAAAAGAAAATAGGCTCACAATAGTTGTTGGATAGGAAGCCGCAGTTTGTAAAAACAGAACACAGAGGTTCCCCTTCCTTCCCTGCAGGTACATGTAGCTTTATTATCCTGGTCTATGTGACTGGTATAATATATTTTTTCTGCATCATCAAAGTCCAGCAACCCTCCCTTAAAGAGGCAATAACATATAAGCCTTTTGTAAATGCTGATTGACAACTGTTATTAAACTAAACACCCTATAGTGAAGACATCTACAGCCACTAGGTAATCACAGCAGATCATATCATGCTGGCTGGACACAGAGCAGCTGTATACCTCCAAAAGTCACAGTAACACTTAATTACTCACTACAGTATATGACAAAAAATTTAAATTAAAATACCTGTTTTGTGTGTTGCATCGCAACAATCTCTGCATATAAAAAAAACATCCCAAGTATAAACACACAATATTACCTGAAATATGGTGTAGGCTAAATGTGAAATTGCTGTTGTGACTAAATAGCAATATACATAAGTATGACTATGTTTCATTATTTTCTCTCAGGTTCTGGCTTGCAGACTGTCCTCGGACTGCCGAGGCCGTCTCTTTTGCCAACCTGCTCTACAGAGAGCTGTCAGTTGTGCCATACATGGCTAAGTTTGTGGTGTTTGCCAAGATGAATGAGATCCATGAAGGACGCTTGCGATGTTACTGCATGACCGATGATAAGATGGACAAAACCCTGGAGCAACATGAGAACTTCACAGAGGTGGCACGCAGCCGAGATATAGAGGTCAGTTCAAATACGTTCTAGAGAAAAGCTACTATATACTGTATTTGTTATATGATTGTAAGCATCGAGAGTTCAAACCCTTTTTGAGTCAATCTCTAAAAAAAACATACACAAAAAAGTAGAGTATAATGCACAATAATTTTCTCGCTGCGTCAACAAACAAATATACAAATTAACCACACATACTAGTCACTGGTGCAACCCTTATCATATTTTGTTCAATCCCATAGGTCATGGAGGGAATGCCACTTTACCTGGAATGTTCTGGAAACCTTGTTCCAGTGAGGAAAGCCACGCAGCAGCTTCGCTGCTTCAGCTTCCAGGCTTTTAGAGACAACCGTCTTCCTGTCTCTGTTAAGGTGTTTACATTCGGCCTGTCTTAAATTTAACTGTAATATTCAATATTAACTACATACTTCTAATATCCAACTGATATTCAATGTCACTGCTCTTCTTCTGTCTCCAAAATGAAGGTGAGAGACAGCAGTAAAGAGCCCACTGGCTTTTTGTCTTTCCTACGTAAGACCACCAAATATGAGGACAGTCAACATGTGCTGTGCAACCTCAACATTACTATGCCGCCATGTATAAGGGTAAGGCTCTGGAAAAAAGCTCACCTTTATACAAGAAAATAATAACCTAATTTACAGTATTCAGTCTTTTATCTCCTGGGGGGTGTAAGACATCAGTGGTGTTTGTTTGTCACTGGCAGATAATGGGCAGTGAAGATCGCAGGAGGACTCTCACCCCACTGGCTTTGAGAGAAAGATACAGTGCTCTAAACGAGCCTGCAATGGGTACAAGTCTATAAATTGCGCATATTGTTATTTATTATTGATTTATTGATTTTCTAAAACACAGATGTTATGTTTTGCTGCCATTGTGGTTTTTACAGCATCAATGAGCGCGATGGAGAGGACTGAGCTAAAAATGGCTGTGATTGCAGAACAGTTGGGGCTGAGCTGGGCTGGTAATTTACAACACTCTTATGTACACTATTTGTGTGCTTATGTGCCTGGTTTAGTTGTACTGGTACAGACAAGTTTTGTAAAAATGCTATGGTTCAGGAGAGATTGATGTCTAGGTGAAATGCTAAAAAAACATAGGCCAGTTAGGGTTCGTGTGTGTGTGTGTGTTTACCTTGTGTCTAACAAGCTTGACTATTTCGTTGTTGGCCAAATCCAGTCAGAAGTCATTAATGACAGTGGCTGTTTTGTAGCATGACATATAGTGTAAATGAGTTGAGCTTTCAGTAAAATCAGCTTGCTCACATTTCTAGAGTTGGCACGAGAGTTGCAGCTCAGTGTGGATGACATCAATAAGATCCGTGTGGAGAATCCAAACTCCCTGCTGGAGCAGAGCTCAGCACTTCTTAATTTGTGGGCGACCCGAGAGGGCAAAAGGGCAAAGAGTAAGTAGCATGTAGCTTGAGTAGCAAGACTATTCTTTTTTCTCATTCCCTATTTTTAAATCTTTACCTTTCCTGCAATACATTCAAAGTTAAAACTGGCGCTTTCTGTTTCCTTCCCCACTCATCTTCACCTTTGGCTTCCTTATCCCTATCATACGTTGCCTGCTGCAGTGGAGAGCTTGTACACGGCTCTGAAGAGTATTGACCGTATGGACATAGTCAGTATGTTGGAGGGACAGCCAACGCAGCCTACGAGACAAGGCTCCCGTGATCTCAGCAGGCGCCGGCACAATGACAGAGAGCACCTTTCCCCTGGTATGACCAATGGTAAGATCCCTTACCAAGTCCCACAATGCAGCTTTTTCCCTATGTCTCCTACATACCCTTTTTCCCCATTTATCAAAGCCACTTCCCCAATATACCTACATCATATTTCCTTCAAATCTACAAAAGGTAAAGTTTGTTTCTAATTTTGTAATTTTCTCTCATTCCTCAATCTTTTTTATTTCTTTAATTTCTTCTCTGTGAGGCTGTTGTGCTGGAAAGCTGCCACAACTTTGACTTTTTACAGGAGTTTACCGTAAGAAAAATGCAGAAGGACTCAGGACACTCCTATCATACAGTAACATCTGACTAGCTCTTGAAAATACATTACACACTTCATAACACTCTGAGATTGTAGGTCAAAGACAGGCATGTAAGAACAAATAAAGTGCTGCTCTCTTAGCAACATTTCCTTTGACTAATAAAAACCAAAAAAAAAAAAGAACATTAATATTAGACTAAGAAAATTAGATCGCTTACCAGTTGTCAGTCTTCAGACTTTTAATCCTTTCCCCATGGTGTCTTTTTCACATACATAACCTACATCTTATTGACTTCATTTTCACATCTGGACAGCTGTGAGTCCCACATCAACGAGTCATGGAGCAGGTAGAGTCTGTGAAAATTGAAGTAATTGTAAGAGATGTAAGGTAGGACCATGAGGGTAAAATGATAAAAAGGTAAACATTCAGATCACAGTCTGACTGAATCTGATACCCATATATCTGTGCTGTCTGTCTATCTATTTTTCAACCTGCCTCCCAAAGGCTTTTTGTGCTTTGGCTTTTACAGTAAAACACAGGGCTACAAGAAAAGTCAATGGTACATTTACCAAGTGGTGCAAAAACAGCCTACTTTGAGAGTTCATTGATAGACTCCTTAAATGTAGCTCTATACAATAGATGGCTAGTGCCAAACAATTGTTCTTTGCTGTAACCAATATCTGAAGAAGGTGGAAATAAAAGGCAGAAATAAAAAAAAAATCAAAAATCAAATAACAAAAACATTGTATGTTCAAATGACCTATAACTGTGATATATATAAATGTGATAAATGCCTGTCCACTCCACAATTAAAATTAAAACACACTTTTCTGATGGGTCTGTTTAAATACCGTTAATTATTTATCCATTGCTCACTCATTTTAAATATAGAGTTAAAGTTAAAATACTTGATCTAATAAGATGGGATGCAGCACATTCAGTGAACACAGACCCAAGTTTTATTTGCAGTCCTGTTACATGTTGACCATTATCAATAGTTCTATGAGCTAGAAAAGATGTGGCCCTTTGCATTTATATATGAGTCTACTACATGGTTAAAAGCTGGTTAGCTTGCCCTTGTCCACAAAATCCATCCAGCTCTACATCAGGTTTTTGTCATAAATTTATTTTTACTTGGTAATCTATCGTACATAGTCCAGCACCTAATACTGGAATTGACAAGCTGCAGTGACAATAGCTAATTGCTTTCTGTAGTATGCTAAAGATGATCGCTGATGTGTAAATCATATTTCAGGGTCAATCGGTTCATCAGTGCAATTTTTTTTTACAGCGCAGGTCAGAAACAACATTTCTTCCAAACCATTTTTCCTATATTGTTGTCCCTTCGATTTGTCAGAGTAGGGTCTTTAGAATTTTACTTATTGCATCAATTATCTTTTAAATAGTTAATCTAGTTATTCAAAAGTTAGGTCACAGTAAGTCCTAGGTTATAAACTAAAACATGAACTATATGGAAACTATTATAACATGCTTTTTGCCTGTGACTGCATGGGGAGTAGTTTGATTCTCTGTAGAGCTAACGTTGGTGCACTGAATGTCCTTTTGGGAGCCCTGTTTTCATTCCCTGTGAATCTGTCCCTCTCTCTATGTTTATCTGGACATGTCATCTGCAGCCTAGTCGTCCTGCTCTTCCTCCTTCTCACTCCTCTTCGAACTCTGATCTCATGCCGACCTCATGTTGACCTCTGACCCACATCTTTATCTCTTTTTTTTAATCAATTAGTTGCGCATTATCTTTATTTTTGAATTCTTGAAACCCCCACTTTTTAAGTGTCCACTCTGTGACTGACACACCTCACACAGACTGTTTACTCAGCACCCACTGGGAGGGGGCAGGTGGCCCTCACTACCTCTCACTGTTTCTACGTTCATCCCTATTTTATATTCCTCTTCTCGCTGTCTATTCCTCTTTTCTATTTCTGTGCTGCCCCTCTTTACCCCATTCTTTCGTGCCCTCTGCCTGACTGCATGTGCATGTAGGCTGTTTTTATTGCCCATAATCTTCTGTTTGCATGGAGACACTTGGTTGATGAGTAAAACACTAGCTTGTTAAAAATGACACCTAAAAGAACATACACACCAAATCAACCTGACTCAACAGTCGAATTCTGCATGGCATGCATTCTGATTATAATCTACTGCGTCTCCGCTGTTCCTCTAAGCTGTTTTAATGACAGGTTTAAAAAAGGCCACAGAGCTTTTTTGTGAACCTGCGATGTTCCATTCATGGATGAGTGTTGCAGTTGTTTTGTATGTCACCAACTCTGTGTTAATGGTGTTGTTGTTTTTTTTAATTAAACATGTGAGTGTTAAAAGTGATCCGTTTCATACTGTTGATATACATGTGCTAATTGTTAAATGTGAAGATCTTTATTTAGTATTTGTGCATTTTTAATTTTGGTTGTGTTCATCTTATCCATATACATGTGTGACCAGTGTATCAGCATTTGGTATGTAAAACATTCTCAAGTGGACAGTATTTTAATCTAAAAACACAACTTCATTTCTTTCTTTCAATGGAGGAGTCGGTCACTCACAGTCTCTATTTTATCCCCTTTACTTGGTCTTCTGTGGATTTCTTTACTCTTTAATTCTCAGTTCCCTCTTTTTTCTTCTCCCACTGTTTCTACCATTACATCACTCTAATGTTCCAGGTAGGGACATTGAAACTAAGAATACAATTTCACTAAGTAAAAAAATATTCAGTGCATTATTTAGGGTGAGGGTCAATTGTGGCCCTAAAATAAGCAGAAATGTAACAAAAAAGATTTCCTAACCAAGATATACTTTGTCTTTATGTCATCTTTATGTCTTGCGTATATGCCTTAAATTAGTCATGTAATTTTACAGTAATTTCCAAGTACATTTTACCTTGTTAACCTTTAACTTCAAACACAGACCTTACAAACAATAATAATATTTCCACCGGCTTCTACAAAGCTATGAACTGTGTCCCAGGGTGAATAAGTAGGACAGGAGGTTGATGGGACTTAGTGTCACAAATATCTTCTGCACTCTCAGCAGAGCAGCAGTGATGCCAAACAAGAATCAAGTTGCACACTGCACAGCTTTGCACATTCATAACACAAAAAGTGTACATGTACAGAATTTATTTCTGAAACACAACTCCTTTCTTTTTACTATTATATTAATTGCTCCAGACACTGTTCCTCATCAACACTGCAGTGCCTCACATTTTTACATTAATTGTTAACCTATTTGAAGATTGGGCAAAAATTTCAACATCTGTTTCAGCAAACTAGCGGTTACAAGACCTGCCTAACTTCATAATGTTTGCAGATGATCAAAGCAATTTTTACTGGACTGTAACACACAATAATTATGTTATTTTCTGGAAAAAAAGATATTGCATAGATATTGTGCTCTATCATTCAAGTTCAGCCATTGCTAAAACAACATACTGTTATGGGAGCATGCTTTTGAAAGTGATGTAGGAGTGACCTGAGTCCACAGCATATGAAGGCAGCAAAAATGTGGCTTTGAAAACACGTGTTATGACACTCAGTTGGCAGTTGAATGTGTACGCATATTTAACAGTATTACTAGTTTTACACCACCATTATTATGACAAGGGACTTCAGCTATGAAATTTCCTATAAAATTAAATTGCAAAAACATACAAGCAAACAAACACTGAACAGTAGATTTTTCTCAGGCTAACATAAACTGAATGAAAAGTTGACATTCAATGGTAATCTTTTATGGTTAATGCCTATGTGTTTGGTATTCATGAGAACTGGGTTATGTACACCTAAATAACTGCCACCTAAGTGTAGCTGTATAACCTTAATGAATTGATTAAAGTTTATGTTTATATTGTGTCAAAAGGCAGATTAAACAGTTGTGTGAATGAGTGGATGTGTGTGAGAATAGTGTGAAGGGAGGATGAGATTGCCTGCATGCATGCTACCCAGCCTGACAACAACATTAACCTGCCTGATTTTGAGAGGGTTTGAATGCATGCATATCCAGTATGTGTATGACTGTGAGCGGATGTATGAGGGTGTGAGAAGATTGAGTGTTAAAAGGCATGTGTTTGTGTGACAAGGCGTGTAACTTTTGGACAGGTGTTTGTCCCAGCCCCAGGTTGGGGGCAGAGACAGTAATTCCTGTCCATTTTCCTGCAGGTAGCAGCCAGCAGAGCAGCATCAGTCATTACTAGGTTTGATCCTCGGACTCAGTCTCTCAGTACATCTGACTGTGTCTGCTGTTGCTGCTGCTGCCGCTGCTGCTCTTACTGTCAGCGCTGACTGAACAAGCTTGATACTCCCTCTTCTAAAAGTTGCCCTTGCTCTTTTGTCTTAAGCTCTTTGCACCTTTATTCCAGCTCATATTGTCTTGATCCTCACCTCTCTCCCTTCCCATTCTTCTCCCATTTGTCCCTTTAGCCTCCTCTTCTCATCCCCTAGATGCCCAGCTTTGGGCAGGGGTACCTACCCCCTCCCGGGGTCCAGGTGCTGTGGGGGTGAGGGGGGGCAAGGTGGGGGGCGGGTGTCAGTGTGCCTCTCTCTGTCTCGCTCCAGGTTATGGGCTTGCGCAGGAAGAGCTTCTGTCACCGGCTTCCATGCAGTACAGCCTGCCCTCTCCACTGGGCACTGAGCCATACTGGCAGGAAGTCTCCAGTTTGGACTGTGCCCCTATTGCCACCACAGAGGAAGACACCCTCATGGAGATGTCTGACGTTCAGGTGTGGCCCTCTGGCAATAGTCCCTCCCTGGTGCCTGTGGAGGATTCCTCTCTGGAGTGCAGCAATGTGGATGATTCTGAATGTCTGCCTGGGCTGCCGTATGGAAGTCTGGGTGTGCCGGCCAGTCAGACCAGTGCAGCCAGTGGAGGGGGTAGGGTGCTGGGTGGTTTCATAGAGCGCACCATCGCTGGGATCAATCTCAATGGGCTGAACAATTGTCAGGGGTCAGAGGCAAGCTCAGAGGTATCGGCAGTCGCCAGCATGACTGGTGGTGAAGGAACTGGAGGTGGAGGAGGAAGAGAAGGAGGAAAAGGCTCAGACGAAGGGCATTCTCTTGTTACAGGACAGCAAAGGGTTTATGCTCGGCTGAGTGAGTCGCCTGGTCTGAGTTGTGTTCCAGATCGAAATGGAGACAGGTGAGCTACACCACAGGTGACTTGAAACAGTCACAACTCAAAAGTAAAATGATAAATCTGTACTTATCTTCTACTACAAAGCTTTATCTTATGCTGTCAAATATAAGTGATAAACTAAAGATGTCAGGAAAATTCTGTGAAGATTGTTCACCACTGTGTCCACAGTGATCATTCAGTTTTTGCAACACTGTCAACTCCATACTGGTCATTCTTTAATTTCAGGTCAAGTAATGGTGGAAACGGCAGTGGTGGAGGCTCTTTCCTTTCCTACCTTCAGGAACAGACAGGACCACAATGGGTCCCTGTTAGTGCCCCTCATCAAAGCAGCCAGCCTAAACCCAAGCAGGTCATGGACTCCATGATGTCATCAATGTGCAACGCTGTAGATGTGGACCAAACTTGTATGACACCTGAGGCCTTGCTTCAGCCTGTGAGAGACATGGGGCACTCTGAGATTTTACGAGGGCACTTCAGAGGTACCCAGCCGTTTGAGAAGGGTTTGGGATTTCCACACAGAGTACCAGAGCTGCGGCCCTGGGACGGCGTGCGTCTCAAGGACCAGGTAAATTAACTGTCCATGTCATGCAAAGTAAAAAAAAAAAAAGATTTGTATTGATTTTATAACAAACAATGGTCCATGTTGCACAACATATACAAACTCAGCTCATTTAGCAACAGACTGCAGTCAAGAAAGTCAGCTTCCTGTTTATATCAATATACTTTTGTGTATATGGTCCTTTTTATATAGAGCCCAAAGACTTACATTGAAGCATTGCATAGTTTTTTACAAAAACTCTGCTAAAGAACTCGCACTTGAGTCGGGCTGATTCAAAATTGCTACTCAGAATGTGACACACATGCATGCACAGACTCAGGCCCAAGATGGGCACAACAACGTGTCCAGCCAAATATAGCTCACCTTCTCGTGTTACATGAGTTCACCCTAGTCTCTAATACATGTTAGCGTTCTGGGACAACACAGATACTGTATACTGTAAAAATGTGTTAGGTTAAAATTAGACATTTTGTTTTGGGCCATTGATGGTTGTTACTAACTTTTTTCTGTCCCATATGATCAATTAAAGAATTAACTTTGTCCTTACTTTTGATGCAGTGCAGGCTGCAGTGTTGAAATAAAAAAAACATCGTATTAAAACAGGTTTTTAAAAAATATACAGTGCATCCTAAGTTTGGTTGACTATGGGTAATGTAAATTATTTACAGGCAGTACATTAGGAAGTGAAGAGATTCAAGCAGAAGTAGCCAGGGGTATTTAAAGCCTCTGTGTCACATGGGCAGATAGAAAGAGGTGGGAATAGAAGCCACCCAAGGTTGCTTTTGCCTGGATTTGTCATTGACTGGATACTCCTGACTAACCAGTGGGAAGGAGAGGAAACAGCTCTGGGGAAAGGTCCCACTGCCCGAGCAGAGTATGGATATAAACTAGAAGATTTGAAATTTCCGACTGACTGAAGTAAAAAGAGTCTGGGACTGCAGCTGTTAGTCTCTCCTTAAGCTAACAGAGGTGCAGGTTCTTTGAAGGGTCGAGAGACGTGTACCTGGAGTTTTGCACTGTTGTCTTCAGGCTGCATTGACTTGCTGGGAATCCAACTGGGGCAATGTGGGCCCTTGTAACCGAGCTCCTCTTCAGCTTTGTGCTGCTGGCTTTTCTGGTGATCAGCTGCCAGAATGTCCTTCATATAGCCAGTGGCTCAGTGCGGTCTGTGCTCACCTATATTCACAAACAGCTGGACCAGGAACTTGGTGAGGTGGAGGGAGTGGCTGATGAGGAGGAAAACGTCACCACTAAAGTGGTTCGCCGCAGAGTTATCCTCAAGGTACAAAGAGATCCACAGAAATATAGTTTACATAGCACAGTCAAAGCGTTTATTGGTGGCAAGGAGGATTATATAGTTTAGTGAAATAATACAACCATGTATTTGATTCTATAACAGCATTATTATGAATTTCACTGTTGATTCAATCAACTAGAAGCTTTGGGGAACACCATGGACTCCAGCAGTTGAACAGACATACTTTAGCAAACATAGATGTCAACACTCTGTTCTTCACGCCTCTTTGGGAGTGTAATCAGTCTGACAACTGTTTTAGCAGAGTAGGCCCATAAATTACCCTGTGCTAACTTCCTTTCTCTTGCCTAAGTCCAATACTGTCAAGAGGAACCGAAAGGTTGTTTTTTTTAGATTATCTAAGTTTCACATATTTTCCACAGGGTGATGAAGCTGAAGATCTTCCAGGTGAACAAGTAAGCGAGGAACAGTTCACGGATGAACATGGAAACATCATCACAAAGAAGGTATGTAATTTCAACAGATTTCATGCTGTATTTTTTTACCTGCAATAAATATCTTTTCCATTTTGGTGTTGGTGACACAATAACATCTCTTCATGTAATGATTATTACAATAATAATCATTATTGTCAGTGTTCATCACATACAATCTTATACTGTGAATTTATTTTTTGTCTGGAAAATAAATAAATTCAAGATTGTCATTTTTAAAAAGTTTTTTTCAGCAGATTTT